AAGTAAATAAACATAGTGAGTACTTTCGAAGGTCTTAAAATGTGATTTTCGCGACGACCAAATTTGGCATGTGGATTTTAACCTGTATTCAGTCGCACAAGGCCCCATAGCCCTATGGGCCGGCCAAAGTCAGTCACGTAAATAATGCGGTCGGCAACAAAGGGCTATGATTCCACAGCTAGTGTCTTCAATGCAACGCAATTCGGAGCTATCTGTCCACAGCCACATAACACGATACTATCCGCACCTCTTACACACAGACTTCGATGAAGACTGTTTAACTCTAAACATTTATGTGCCAGCCGACGTGGCTGATCGATCACTTGCTGTTATGTTGTGGATACCTCCCGGTCATACTTCCATGACGTATGACGGCAATGTTTTATCAGCCACCCAAACGGTTATAGTCATCACAACCAATTATCGGTTAGGGGCCCTTGGTTTCCTCAGTACAATGGACCGGTATGCATTGGGTAATTACGGACTTCTGGATCAACAACTCGCAATTCGCTGGGTGAAAGACAACATCGCTAATTTCGGCGGCGACCCTTCGAAAATAACGATATTTGGTGGAGGAGTTAGTGTCGGTTTTCACATGTTATCACCGACAAACAAGGGGTTATTCCAGCGGGGTATATCAGAAAGCGGCGTGCCAACGTCTTCACAATTGGCGGGTAAGCCGGCAACATGGGCTCGAAAACTTGGGAAAAATCTGAATTGCTCGGATGTAAGTGATCATGGCCGTCTTCTTACGTGTTTACGTTCCTCATCGTGGCAGGATATAGTAAATAACAACCCCGCCCAAAACACACTTACTACCTTGGAAGGACAGTTTGCTCCAGTCGTAGACGGCGAGTTCATAACAGACACGCCGGAAAATATGATATACAAATCTAACTTTAGTAACTATGATTATTTATTGGGCTTTAATAGTCATGAAGGAGCCATGCTTTATAATCTGTTCGGTCAGACCTTGTACCCGGAAATATTAAATTCACCAGGTTTGAGCAGCACGCAGTTTAACCAGTTACTTGAAGATGATATTCAAGGTTCCTACGATGATGAGTTAGATTTGGTTGCTGACGCTTGTATTTATAAGTATACTGACTGGCAAAATACTTTTAGTGAATTCGACAGACTGACTAATTTCATGAACTTCAAAGAAGACAAACTATTAATTGCCCCTACTATAGATACGGCAAGAAAACACGAGCGAGCGCCCGGAACTGGAAGGTTGTATCTCTACCAGTTTTCATATCGAAGTTCAGTAACCACAAGCCCACCGTGGATAGAAGGCGCCATCCACGGCGACGAGATCAGCTACGTATTCGGTGTTCCCAAACTGACACCATCAACCTATAGCAGTGCAGAGCAGGCGTTGAGTGATGATATGATGACATATTGGGGCAACTTTGCAAAGAATGGGTAAGTATTCTACATAATTAAATTCCCTTTTTATGGGAATGATAAACAACTTGTCCAACATCAGTGTTTTAAACTTGAACATTACGTTATTTTCCCCATTGTTGAATCGTGCATTTAAATGAGTTACGGTTACTCGTCAAAAAACTGCCCGTATCCTTTTAAATTACAGCGAGCTCATTTGAACCAGACTCACTTGATAAGACACAATGGGCAAATGTAACAGTCTAACATCGCCGAGTCGTTAATTAGCCGCAGTTCCATGACCCTCTATAGTATCATTTCAGAAGGCTCACAGAGTTGGCTCATCGCGTCAAGATACTTACATGTTGTTTTTTTCGCAGAAACCCCAATTTCGGCGATGCCACTGATGTCACATGGCCTGAGTTCACCAATGAGGAAGAATTATACATTGATCTTGGTATTGACGTCACAGTAAAAGATCACGTGAGGGCTAACGATGTTGCTTTCTGGGTAGAATATATTCCTAATTTACTTTCAAAAACTTGTCAACCGTTGCCAAGTAACTGTATAAACGTTGTGGGGTCTGATCTTGGTTTGTCCTTAACTCTTAAAGGGACATCAACTCTCATCCAGTCACTTGTAATAGTTGTCTTTTTCTTGATTATCGTCATAGCAATGATGATGGCTGTCCTGTGTGGCTATGTACAGAAAGTGAAGTCGGCGAGAGTACAATGTCTTAAATTGAACGCAGTTACCAAGAAACTAGAAAATATTTGCGACTCACTTGACAGAAACAATGACAATTCTGATAACATGACCAAACTATAGCATGTTAGAAATAAATACATAGTTTGATGTTTAGAAAAGTTTGAACCAATTAAGAAGTTATAAATATGAAATGATTTTTTATTATATTTTGGGTTGGTTTATTCAGTGCATTTACATTTTGAGGTGTGTTCGAAATATTTTTTTATATATATCGATGCCACCTTCTGTACCATAATTTGTATCACCTATAAATATATATATGAATATTAGTAACTTTGTGTTGTTTGATTCTCTCAGTGTTTTGCATGTCTCTTTCTGTAGTTCAGACCTATTCATATACTTCTGGATTCATTTTGTTGCAATGCAGTAGCAACAAGTGATGTCCATTACCCATAATAACAGTGAGACGTCAACCTGTATGTCACAAATATGTGAATTAACAACAAACACAATGCTGTACATATTAAATAATGATATGAACATATGTAAATTCTATGGTTGGAAATAATGAATCATCAGTTCTGTACAATAGTATATAGGTAGTAGAATTCAGTGATGATTGGCATCTAGCCCTTGTTTCCATGTATCTGCATGGTTGCAAGGAATGCACGCAAAAATAAGTCTACCAAAAGAATATATGTTTTAAGTATGTGAAATTGCTATTTCACAGGATGCAAAAAATATGTAAAGAGAAAAAAAAGCCTTAGCACAAGAATTGTACGAATAATTTAAATAAGATAAATTCGTTCGAAAAAACTAGCGTTGTGTAAAGTGGTGGGTATGTTACATCAAGGCTGGATACGTAGAATGAAAATGTCTGAAAATTAGCCTAGGAAGCTGACTAACTTGTCTCGCACCCTTTCTAAGACGTGTGGCAACCAGAATAAAGTGCTCTAATAAAGGCCATTAAAATTGCACAAAATGACAGAAAAAATGCATGAGAAAGTTGTCTTTGAGAGTTTAAAAGCTGTAAGGAGCTACACAAATGTAAGAGGTCGGCTTGGGAAGACTAAAATAATAAAAATGTAACCTGTGTATGCGAAAATGTTGTCTTGTAGAAAGTAGGCAAAGGCAATATTTAAAATGCCGGAAAAGTAGATTGTAAATGCATAACTATTGACTTGGACGAAATAGAGTCTATATGTACAAGTCAATTCAATGCAAGACGCAAGTCTAGTTTGTCATTGCAATTTGAGTGAGTAAGAGAAAACCCTAGTCCAAGGGGAGTTGGGAACATTAGCGAATGAAGTTGTAAACTTTTCCTTCGACGGTAAAACATTTGTTTTGAGTGAAAGTAGTTTACTTTAGAGATATACTAAAATCAAAGAAAGCTTAGAAAGAACTCCCGTGTGCTGAGAGTATTGAAGACACATTAAAAATTAATTCAAAATTACTAGTACATGAGATATTGATGGAAAAGCTGAAAACTAATTATGTAAATTAGGTAACTAATATGAACAGAACAGAACAAAAAAATTATGAATTATTATGCTAATTAGAGAATTAATATGAACAAATTTTAACCCAAAATTAATCAGGCCTGTCTATTGTCCTAGAGCATTTATGTACCAAATTTTATTCAAATGTGATGATCAGTAATTGAGATATCAGTGTTAATTAATTATGTTAATTAGGTGATTAATAAGCATAAATATTCTCTTTAAAAGTTTCCTTAAAATCCAATTTGTGGTTCTTTATATATCAGTGGAACATTATGCAAATTAGGTAATTAATATCCAATTAAAACTAATCAGATGTCTGCATAATCCTAGAAGATCTATGTAGCAAGTCTCATTGAAATATGATGATTACTACTTGATATACCAAAAGCTGAAAATTTATTAATTATGCAAATTAGGTAATTAATATGTACTCATATTACCCTAAAAACTATCAGGTCTGTGCAGTGTCCTATGACATCTATGTACCAAATTTCATTGAAATGTGATGATTACTACTTGAAATATCAAAAGCTGAAAATTAGTTAATTATGCAAATTAGATAATTAATATATACTGATATTACCCTAAAAACTATGAGGTTTGTGCAGTGTCCTATGACATCTATGTACCAAGTTTTATTGAAATGTGATGATTAGTACTTGAGATATCAGTGGAAAAGCAGAAAATTGATTAATCATTATGCAAATTAGGTAATTAACATTGCACAGATTTTTACCCAAAACTAATCAAATCTGCGCATTAGTTTGGAGCATCTGTGTGCCAAGTTTCACCAAAATCCAATGAGTGGTTCTTTAGATATCAGTGGAACAGCTAAAAATCAGCTAATTATCATGCAAATTAGGTAATTAATATGCATGGATAAATACCAAAACCTAATCAAATCTGCGCATTGGCCCAGAGCATCTATGCACCAAGTTTCATCAAAAACTGATGTATGGTTCTTGAGATATCAGTGGAACAGATGGACACACACACACACATACAGACACACTAACTGCAAAGACTCCCTTTTTGTGCTTCGCACACGGGAGTCAATAAATTGTAGCCATGATGTTTCGCGCAGTTTGTGTTTGTGTGGAACGGAGAAATTACTTTAAAGGCCAATAAATGAATGAAAAGTTGACCATGCATGGGAAAATGTTATTATAGAAGGTTTAAAAGTTGTGTGAAAAGAAAAGGTGGTCCCAGCGTCATAAAAAATGTCTGAGAAAATTAAAAGATTTGAGTTGTGAAGAAGCATTACAATTAATGTAAAGCACGTCAAGGGATTGTATATTGGGACATTATACCTAATGAAAAACTACTACATGAAGCCTACACTCATTTACATACCAATATATAGTAAATTGGGATGATTTCATTCTTTAAAAGCTGGTATCAAAACTACAAGCTATAGCCCACACTCATTCATATACCGAGGAATAGTGAATAATAATAGTATCAATCATAGAACACATTGTATGAAAGCTACATATTGCTTGTTGGCTGAAATGAACGCTCCAGGTTTTCTGTACAGCATTTTGGATAGCGATCTGTGATTGATATCAATCAAGGAAAATATAAAATGGTCAAAAGAGTCCAAGTGCTTCCATATACTATTGTTAATATTGTTAAGTGCTTCCATTCTCATAACATATACATGTGTACCATGGCACACTCCCTCTATAGACGTTTATAGAGGGACGGTAGCTATGGTCAATATAAGCAGGGGATTTGTTCG